GGCATTTTTCACAAATTATAGATTTTAAGGCAAATGTTACACCCAAGTTTGGAAACAAATTAAATTCATTTAAAATATAACTTTAGATTTGGACTATTAGTAAAAAATAATTTTAACATTAATTAAATATAAATTTTAAATTTATTTATACCCATATCTCTAATAAAAATTATTATTTATAAAAAAGTTTTTTCACTTACTTAATTAATATTTCAGATAATTTTTAAGGTCATTTTTTGAAGTTTTCAGTGCATTTTTGCACTTTTTTTAGGGCATTTGTGTGTTTTTTAGGTCATCAACATCCTAACTCTAGTTATAAGTATTTAAAGTTTAGAGAAGTGGAGTAGCTAGTGGACAAACATTTTGCGGGGTAACCCTGTACCACTCCACTCTGCCAATTTGAACTTTAAATACTTATAACTCATAAACTATTCATCCAATATTCGATTTTTACGTATCAAAATACTTAGAATAATATTCTGCTTTGGAATATGAAATTAAAACTCTAGGTTGTTATTCAAAAAAGTAAAAAACTTAAAAAATTATAAGGATAAAAAATATTTTAAAACATAATTTTTTAATAAAAACGTTGTTTTTTTAACAACATGAAACTGTAAAAAAATATTTTCAAAAACATTGATAYTTTTTGAAATAATGAGTGGTTCATGATAAAAAAATCACCCTGTATATGGTGTAAAACTGGGGTGGCCAACATGAATACGTCCTTTAACCACATGGATAAGTACAATGATATCAAGAGCCAAAATGTTAATAACTATATTTATAATTTTATTGTTAATAAGTAAATATCCGTTTTTTTTAATTAGACGCGAGATGCAAGTTGGTTACCCCTGGTGTATAAGATGAAAACCATATATTAACGAATAAGATAAGTTTCGAGAATAACAAAATRATTTATGAATCAAAACTATAATGGATATTCAATTGAAATACGAAGAATATTTTWTTAATAATCATACTTTTTTGTTATTCATTATTAACATTTAAGAATATGTTACAGTCCATATTATATTTTATAATGATTTTATTCAATATAAGACTAAAAATTAAATTTGATAGTATTTAGGTTCTAAGTGTTTTTACTAATACTTAATACTTATAGGCGTAGAATTAATTACRTTATTCTTATAAGTTTATGGCATTTTAAAATTAAAAAATGATCTTTGCAGAAATTTAGTTGCTCTAAATGACGACGGTGACCCAGGCTGGGAAGCAATTATTCATATGAAAAAATTTTTAATTGAGAAAATAAAAGCTAGTTATCAACAGTTTATAACTGAAGAACAAGCAAATGAAACGCCTAGTAAGTCACTTATAATTTAAATCTGAAACTTTTACTTGACACATAAATACATTTTAGATAAAAGCAATAGACATCCACACAATAAACATAAAAGAAATATTAGTTTGTCACAGCAAATAGAACTCCAAGTATGTTATATCACATTTTATTATTTAAAAAAAATTATGTTAATTAATGTTGATCATTATTTTTTTTTTTTACAGAACATTGAGCCTAAAAAAGTATTATGCATTGATGAAATAGCTACCGTTATTTCGGATTATTTTCCAGACTTGTGGAAACTTGGACAAAATTACTTTGTTGGTGACTTAGCAGTGAAGCCAGATTGCAGCCATGAAATGGATTTCAAAGTATTTCTACTTATATTTTCAAAAATATTGTACATGCATAACCTAATTTTTATCATTTATAGGAAATGATATTAGACATAATTGTAACTGTGTCTGATATATATAGAACAATTATGTTACCTACTACTACAACTAGTTCATTTTCACCTGTGCCTATCATATGGTTGCCTCATTGCTTAAAACAAATTCGATCGGTATTTACAGTACTGATGGCTTTGGATCTTCCTAATGAAGCTTTAAATAAGATTTCCAGTGTTATATTTGATTTAAGGTCAACTTTCTTTTTTATAATTTTTAAAAATCCGTTGTATTTCATTTAAATATTCTTAATTGTATTAATAGGTTACACTGTTTAAATATTTTATTTAAACAAGCGTCAGAACAAATTATACAGTTAAAAAATAATGAGACGTGGAAACTGGATTATYATTCAAAACAAGGAACTATATCACAATTAGTAATTTTAATTCTTCAATATTAATAATTAAATAAAGTAAATTCTATACTTATAATTATTATTATTTTCAGCCAAATGATTTCTACAAAATCATAATGGAAGCAATGAATTTAGCCAAAGAATATGTTATTCGTGATGAGCGTAGAGAAACTGCACTTGTTGATAATGAAACTGCAAAAAATGAAATACAACTATTGGTTCACAAATGTTTTTGGAACTTTTCACAGGTTTTAAACTATATTATGTTTAAAAAAAAAAGATTTTAGATTTAATAAATAATTTTTATATTTAAGGTTTTAGAACAAGTGGGGTTAAATGCGGATACTAATTGTTCAACTACTACAGTTATGTCCTTGAGTGGATCTTCAGTTACAGGGTTTAAATTACACAATGATCTGGTAAGCTTTATTTTTGAAAATGTTAGTGTTATAATATAATTGTTAGGAGCATAATTAATGTTTAAAGTATACAGTGAATTCATGGTAAGTCAAAGTTCAGGGAAATAAKATTTTTTTAATTTAAACATTTATTGATTTCAACAATATTCCCAGATGTTGCATAGAGACTTTTTATTGAAGTCTGTTCGCCTTCAGTATTAGTGTTTTTATTGTTTTTAATGTAGGTTCCAATGTTATATCTTCCCCAGTTTCATATTATCTAAAGCATTTAGCAATTAACAATTTTTGTGCACAGAATCTTTCATTCACTTCTGATATTGYCTTTTGTAAACGACCAATTGCAACTGATAACAAACTGAACATATCAGATATTGCGTAGTCAGTACTTATATACAGATACCTATATTTGAACATAATGTRTAAGAGAACTGTTGAAAAAAATACAAGTTATTTATAGTTTATTCAATTTATTGTGGTACTTTGGAAGGAAATTACATTACTTTTGAGTTATTAAGCTTATTGATTTATTGATATTCCATTGTCCATATTTAAAATATAAACAAAATGTATTATTTATGTTTAGTTTAAATATTTACATATACTAAGTATATGTGCTAAAATATAGACATATTTATGTCATATTACATAACTGTGTTAATTATTTGTATTATTAATTATGCATTTTAGATGTGGGAACAAAAACTTTTAATAACAATTAGTAATAGTCAATATACAAGAAACATTATGCTACTTAAATTTAAAAAAGAATTTGAAGACAATGGTTTTCCAACTATTGATGTTGTTGTGGCCCGTGCTGTTGAATTACTTGAAAACACTGAAAGTAAATTGCTTGAAACWTACATAGAAACCAAAAGTGATCCTTTAGTCGGGACAATAGAACCATCAATGTATGTCGGCAGCTTTGAATGGGACTCTCCCTCACTTTTAGATCTAAAAGAAGTCAGACCTTACGCCAAAGAAATTATTACTAATTTGATTGCATTACATTCTGAGGTTTAGTAGCAATTTAAACCTTCCAATTTTAGCACATGTTCTATTCATTACTAATTATAATTTTTTTCTGTTAGGTTCAAACAATCATACCAGATTTAATGTATGCTGTATTATCAGAAATTGTGGTCACTATATCAGAAGAAATGTCACGTCTCATGAATTGTGTGACACATTTTAGTGAAAATGGGGCTATGCAAGCTAGATTGGATTTGATGGCATTAACATTTACATTATCTAATTTCTTTACACCAAATTCTAAGTATATATTTTAATTTCAGCAATTTAACCTAACAATTATATATCTTAATTATTTATTTATAGAGATTTTTTTTGTGATGCTACAAATGCAGTTCCGCCATTAAAATCAGAAGATAATGAAAAGTAATTCTATTTATTTATGATTTAGTACCATAGATATACTCTAGAGTACTAAATTAATATTATGATATAATTATTAATATATATTTTCTATGTTCCTAGGTATGTTTTGAAATGTTTTGAGCAGTTTAAGACTCGTATGCATTTACAGATCATGTGTTTTTTAACACCTTGCCCTAACAATATTGAAACTAGTATTATATAATATCTTATTACAATTTATATTATAACTCAATTATTTTTATATCACATATTTATAAAAATATTAATGAAATTTATATTTAATTAACTAATAATAYACAATATAAATAATTTAATTTATTTTTACAGTCTAAGTGTTATTAGTTAAATTTACAGAATACTTGTCAAGCATGCTGTGTTGTTTGTACAAGTGTACAATTCAAATTTGGTTTTTTGCTGTTTTAACTTAGTCATAACTCATAACTATGGTGACTTGTAAGATTAATATGTTTTTATGTGACAATGTATGTTAAGATAAAGCTAGTTGAGGTTTTATTTAGGGTATGTAAGTAAATTCATCTTTACATTTTCTTGCTTATTTTACAGATTAAAAAAAAAAAAACTAATTATTTCATACTTTCTTCATTGCTGTTTTATATCTTATTTAACAATTGTTAAAATTAATTCTTATATACATTGAGGGAGGTGCAAAAACATGATATGTCATGTTTCAAGGAGTATATATATGGGAAGGTAGGAAGTCGGGCATTGAGCACATTGCCCGATTTTCATGGGCAAAGTTAACATTAACCGAGCATTGTATACAGTGCCCTATTAGATTTTCCCGGATTTCCTACTTTTGCCCATAATATTTACACCTTTTTCAGTTTATAGATAATGTTATATTCACATTTGAAATTTCATATGGTCAATATTATACAGGATATGCTAATAAACCAGTAACATGATAAAATAAAAAAATAAAAAAAGGAATATAAATAAAATAAAAAATGTAAATGTAAATGTTGCATTTTTATATTGACTGATGAGTATTATAATGAAAAATAATATTTATAAAATACTTAATTATTTTTGAGTAAATTTCTATATTTAAACATTATAAATAGAAAAAAAATACTTTTAACATAGTAAGTCTTAAAATAGTTTTCAATATAGGAATACACTTAAAAAATGTATATGTTAAAATATGTTGTACAGCTATTTTATATTGCTATCATCTTCCGCAGCTATGGGGTAAGATATTAAACCAATCTTAAGATTTGAAAACATAAAAAAACTTCATTGATGAGTAACTTAGAAACTTCAAAATAAAATTTACTGTAAGGAAAAATGATTGAAAACATTAAAAAAAATAGTAATAATTACAATAAAATACACTGTTTTTAAAGCATACCACTATTTGATAAAATGTTCTCACTAATTTACACCTAAGATTTTAATGTAAAATTTCAAGCACTGAGGGCTTTTATGCTTTATCGGACGTGCTGTAATCATAAATAATTTATAAGAAAATAGAATTTGTCATTTTTTTTCTATTCATAATTTTACCCTGTCTTATCCCTACACTTTACAACATGACATATATAATAAATTATATTACTTAAGCTTTAGAATGATTAGATAAATTTGGAGACTCAATTTACATTTGTTGAACATTTTTATTCTGTTTTATTCTATTTGTGACTTATATTCTTTTTTTATATATATAATGTTAATCAAGGTATATGGTCTTCATTTTTGTATATTGAACAAAAAAAAAACTGGATAGGAACTTCTGAAAGTATTACTGCACCCCTTGGTTTTTGTCCTATCATAATATACTTAACTACAACAATTATTTACTTATTATACTATGTTCTACATTTCAAGTATATTGCTACAAAATTATTTCTTTATGAAACATGATATTTTTAATGTGATTAGATAATAATTTTTGAAACTAATATTAATATTATTACCTTATGATACCAACATAATTTAGTCACCATACCATTTTTCAAGAATGATCAAAGTTTATTTTATTAACCAATTACTTGTTGATTCTGTGATTTATAAATATACCATTAAAAGATAAATCACGATCCTCAACACTTAGATCAGTATTTCTTAACCGGTGTRCCACAAATGTCTAATATTTGTAATTAAGCTGGTAAAAAATATTGCAAACAGTACTTTATTTTGTTTCATTTGTGTTGAGTGTGCAGCAAAAACTTGTGATGTATAATAATGTGCCATGAACCAAAAAAGCTTGAGAACCACTGACTTAGATCATATAATTTGAAAAGATTCCATTTCTTGATTTAATATATAGTTTTGATCTCTTATCCACAACTGTTCACATATTACATTTAATGTGTAAGCTGTAATCTCCTCAGTAATCTCAGTTTCATTTGAACCATCTGTTTTATTTATTTTCAATATAGTAATTTTTTGTGTTTTTTCAAATTCATCAATATCATCAATTGTAATTTTAGCAGTAAAATCACCAGCACAATACCTGAAATAAACAAATTCAAACCATTAGAATATAATAATATATTTATTATTATTAAAATAACAAAATTCTAACTTTGTGCCAATAACAATAGGAGCCGGTTTACTTTTATCGTTCATGTATATAGGAAGATTTGTTGAGATAGTACTTAATCCACTAGGGTCAGTAAAGGAAAATACAAACACAATGGCATCTGCCTCTTCTTTACATACCTTATCAATTACCAAAGTATTCAAAATAAAAATCAATATTATTGAATAATCAAGAGCAAAAAAAGCTAGAAATAACTATTTACCGGCAATATGTGTCCAAATTTCTTAATGTCTCTGTCACCCGCGTCCCAACATTGCAGTCGAAATAGAATAATTCTATCCCACACTTTGACAGGCCAATAAATGTTACTTTTACGTATTCCACGAGTTTCTACATAGTCTACGTCAACATTTAATATCCCTGCTAATCGAGCAATAGTGGATGATTTTCCTGCTCCACTTTTCCCAACAAAAAACAATTTGTATGACACTTCTTCTATGTTTGGCAGTATAGGTCGTTCCAACAGTCCTAATAAATTCAAAAGATTTTTTCAAGTTTTAAGTTATTATGATATTTAATTAATGAATCACCRAATAATCAACTGAATAGATTATACTTGAAAAGGTATATAACAGAGGTGGCCAACATGAATACGTCCACAAACCACATGGATAAATATAATGATATCAAAAGCCAAAATGTTTATAAATACATTTTATAAATTTTATAATTTTATAATTTTTTATCTTAATAAATAAATATTGGTTTTTTTTAATAAGACGTGAGCCACATACAACTAAGACGAGAGCAGTTGGAGAACTAGTTGACCACTTCTGGAATATAATAAGATGTTATTGGGATTAAAGTCGTTGGTCACTTACCAAAAAATTTTCTACCGTTTGTCTGTGGATTGTAAAAATGTTGCATTATAGTTTCTCCCTCAGCAGTACTCTGCCAATCGAGCTTCACTACGTTCCCAAACATTATGTTAAAGAACGATAGTCATGTTTTAGAGTCCGTCAATTAATGAGTAGCACCATGCTGCCATTGATTATTAATTAAATAATATACCTACACATCATTCATTATAAATRTATTCATATGATTTGATTTACTTGTATCGTCACACTGGACACACTTACTTCAAACCACTGCTACTGATCGCTTTCTATTTTTCTAGAATTTAGTTCAGTGTTAAAACTTTTTATTGTTATAAAAATATTAAAATAAAATAAGACGTTAAGACAGATAAATATCTGTTTAATAAAAAGTTATTTTTGTTCCTGATTGATATGTGAGTTGCTACCATATCAATAACATACATTATAATGATTCAATGATACTATAGTGATAAGCACWTGACACAAATTACAAAACTTCGTGGACACAATTCAATTTATCCGTTTTATGACAATTAGTGTCTTACCATATAATAGATTAAATTTCATCTATTCTCTCTCTGTGGTACAACCGCGATCTTCCCAGATCTTTCTGGTGTTTTACGTTTTCTTTCTATTTTATAATACACGATTTTCAAGTAAAATATTAAAATATTTAATGTAAATATTTTTTATGGATCATACCGTTCTGTAAAATTATGTTCTATTATATTCCATTCTGGGGATGATAAAATAATAAATTCTCATACTATAAAACTCCGAGTATTGGCATAGGCGCAACTAGGGGGGTGCTTGGGGGTTAAGTTTTATATGAAAAAGTTTATTTTGTTTTACGTAAAGTTGTTTAAATATTGAAAGAGATGTTGTTAATAAAACTACTTCTTCAGAAATTTATTCCAATTCCACTAATAAAAGAAAAATAGTCCAGAGCAGATGTTCTTATTTTTTAGTGTGGAAGTAGATACATCCCAGGATGATCCAGCTAGTTTTCTTGTTTTTTATAATGTTATTTCTGGTTTTAAGCTTTGATGCAGTATTTTCTGTATGTATTTTGTAAGTAAGCTGCCTATCTAGTGTCACTCCTAGATATGTAGAGGTCTTATTATTTTTGAGAGTAATACCTACTCTGAGATTATACCTAGTCTTCTGATATTAATATACTATTTTTTCGGTGACTATGAATTTATTGTTTTGTACCAAGATCTATCTTTATAGATTTTGGTTTTGCACTACCAGTGTAATATTATCAGCGTAAATAAATTTCTGTGAAGTTGTGATTGGTAAGTCACTAATATAGAGATTAAACGAGATTGGAGCTAGAATGGACTCACGAGGAAGCCGGGCATTCAGCCGTCTTKAAGTCCTATGTGTCTCTCCTAGATGAACTGTAAATTTACGATTGTTGACTATTTCATTCAATAATTTGTGTAATGTGATAATGTGAAATTAGGGAATAATTCCAGAAGTTTCATAAGGAGGCCCGTTCTCCAGACTGTGTCGTATGCAGCTGTAAGGTCGACTAGTGCAGCTGTAGTTTTCAGATTCTTTTGGTATCCATTTTCTATAAATGTAGTTAAGGCTGCTACTTGGCCTGTGCAGCTTTGGTGGGGTCTAAATCCAGCTTGTTCCTTGGGGACCACTGATCGATAATTGGGATAATGCGATTATAAATCAATCTTTCAAGAAGTTTGTAGCTTACGTTTATTAGTGCAATCCGTCAATAGCTTTGGGGGATATATTAGGTTTCTTTGGTTTTCATACCGCTATTATTTTTGTATTTTTGAATATTACTGGAATTTTCCCATTCTAAAGTATATTGTTAAAGAAAGCTACAATCCATGATCTAATACGTACTCCGCAATGTAAAAGTTCAGGAAATATCTTGTCTTTACCGGTTGATTTCCCATTTTTTATTTTTGTTGTCGCAGAATTTATTTCTTATAATTTGAAGGAGGCAGTTATAGCCGATCTTTTGTCCGATTCTCTTTTGCGTTTAGCGAGTTTGGATTTTGTTTCTTTTGAAAATTGTTTATGCGACGACGATCTTGGATTTTGTCTCTAGACAATCCAAGTATGTGATTTGGATTGATCGGTGGATAGTATCGTTTTGGCTCTCCGTTAAATCCCAGTCTACGAAGGAGTGATTAAGCTTTACGGCTCGAGTGCTGTTTTTTCTACTTATTGTATCCACCTTGCACGGCGTTGATTATTAAGTGCTTCTAGAGTCTTCTCTGCATAATCGGAACTCTCTAAACACTTGAAAGAGGTGTATAGTGTTTAATATTTATCGTTCCATTCGGGAACGTAATTTTTTCTGTAGCCACGAGGAATGCACTTTTTTGCGGCGTTGATGATGAGTTTTGTAAAACGTGGAKGGATCCACCGTACGCTGTCATCTAAAATTTTAATAAACAAGAGCAAGTTAGCTTTATGGAAATTCCACTTTGCTTTGAGTAAGGAACTAATCCCTGGTCGGGAATTTATATCCGACTTATATAATTACCGTTCTAGGTTGGGTGTTTGGGAAGTCCATTAAAACTTTTCTTGAAGTTGGTAGAGTAGCGCCATTTTGGTCAGTAGATATAATAAAGCACAAATCCGGATTATACTCCCTGTTCCGGCTGATCGAAACGTTCCTTTTTGTTTAGGGTCGAAAACTAATTCTTAACCCTAGGCTTCACTCCAATCAGAAAGTTTTTCTCCTTGAATGTTATTTTCATTGTATCCCCATATAATGTTATGACTATTAAAGTCACCTATGTAAATAGTAGTGATTAGGTGAGTGGAGTGAAGGGGTAGGCCATTGCCCATTTGACGTTTGGGTTTTATAGATATTGGCTACGTATAGATTTCTAACTTGAGTTTCGATAGTGTATAGATGCTGTTTTCTTCAGAGGTACTGATGTGATTCCATTTTAGGTCACTTTTTATGTAGGTAGTAGTACAATATTTGCTGTGAAAAGTAGCACCAGCAATATGCCCTCTTTTTGCTAGTTGTTTTGATTGGCTGTGTGAGTTTCCTGAACAACTAGTACATCTATTTTTTGTTCTATCGCGATTCTTTCTTGAACTTCCGCCTTAGATTTACTAAAGCCTTCGACATTTAATTTCATAATTTGGGTGGTGCTCTTTCGTCAAAAAGCCCTTACAAATTACAACTATACAAGGGCTGTTTTGGTTTGAACACTGTTTATTTGCTTGCATGAAAGGTGGCGGGAGATGCATAAAGCACAGTCTGCCGACCAGGGTTCCGTATACTTTGGCCGTTTAAGGAAACAAAGTTTCATGGGGAAAGGGAAACCTTCCACATATCTACGTATTTGATCATAGAAAAAAATATAATTTATTAACATCTATATTGAAAAATATCGATATATCAATGTCGACATATATCATAGGTATATGTACCGTGCTGGATTGGTGGATAGCGTGGAATATGAATAGATATTTAGGTTCATGGTAGGTACATAAACGAAAATATCTTAAAATTAATTGAAATTTTGAAATTTTCATTGTTTCAAGAAAATAATAGGTAGTTATAATAAGTCGTTTATTGAAAAATTGTTATTTTTCGTATTCATCAATATTTTAATTTCAAGGGTACTTAAATGAAAAATTATGATTTTTTTCTTTTTAAATTGCAATTTATGATGAATCGTATCTCACATTTTCAACTATTTTTTAAAGCTGGCCATTTTTTTCTATTAATATTTATTGAAAAAAAAGTTAAAATATTCCAAATGTCCAAAATAAATAATATTGTTTTAAAAACTTAATTGTAAATATCCAATGATTATTTAGGCAATAGTTAAATAGTRTAATGTTTCAAGCATCTATGATTAACACTTTTAAATCACAACAAAGTAACAAGACCGAGTAGATACCTAAGTACTTACATTGCATTTTTGAAATTGGTAATTCACTATAAAGGTTCTAATTTAACATTCTTAAAATTGCTGATTGAATCAGTTACTTTTCCAAAAAATAAAATTTATTCTTAACAATAAATTACATAATACTTTAGAAATCAGAATCACATGCTAAGTCTACGATTATTCTTCTATTGCAAACTGTTTGTTGCTCGCAATTGCATATCCTACATTATAATACCTAATACAGTATAAAAAATGTCATACACTTCACTAATTTCAATACATTCATTGAGATTGAAAACCATATATTATTGATATTTATGAATTAATCACAATTTCTTATAACAAGAAAATTTTTAGTAAAATTAAAAATGTTAGCATTAGATTTTGAACAACCCAACAAGGCTATTTTTTTATTAGGTTTGATGTGGTGGATTTTATTAAAATTAATTAGGTATATAATAATTTATAACCATTGTCTATTCCTATATAACTTATATATTATAGCTTTGTCTACATATATTCATTGTACCTGATTGTATAATAGACAATCATCAAATGTTAATATACCAACAAAACCTAGCATCAAAGAGTCCGTATCTCCTACAGTAGCAAGAAAGAGACGTTTAGCGGCTAATGTGAGGGAATGTAGACACATGAATGGCTTGAATGAAGCATTTGATAGACTCCGTAAAGCTATACCGATGTCCATACAGAAGATAAACACAAATTATCAAAATAATATGGAAAGCTTACATATGGCTCAAAGTTATATATCAGTGTTATGCAACTTACTGGATCAGGTAAAATGTTTTCGTCACAAAAGAAATATTTTTGTTTATTTAATAAAATAAATAACGAAAAAGCAATTAAATACAATAACTTTTATGTTTTCATTTCTGCACACCTAAATAAAAAAATAATGCAGTACAAGACAAAAAAAAGTGTTACTTCAGTAAAATTTATAATCAACATAAAAACTGAAATGTGTTTATACAAAATTATTCAATTGAAAGTTTAGCCATGTTACATTAAATTGTATACCTTACTGGTAGAGAGAACAGTAAAAAAAAGAATGAATTTAAAAATTAAAATATAAATTTTTTTTAAATATATTTATATATATATATATATATTATAAACATTAATCAATATATTGTGCTAGCCATCTGAACCCTTCTCCGTAACCTTGACGTTTCAATACAGAACACATGAATACTTCTAATGGACGGCCTGGAAGATCTGATCTGGGTACTCTAGCCTAAAAATTAAATATCATGGAATGAAAAAATTTTGATATTAAATAGTTTAAATAATAAATAGTAATCACAAATAATTATTTCATAATAAATAAACCACCTTAAATAAATTAAAATTTAGATACTGACAGAAACATCTTTCACTATATTATCTTACTACTTAGGCAAGATAATTTTCAAATGCATAAAATAATGTACTCAAAAAACATTGAAGTATTTAGTTTTAAAGAGATACATAAATTGTAACTTTTCATGTCATTGTGTATTTTTAATTAAAAAAAAAACTCATAAATATAATAATAAAAGGTTACAAAAATATTGACACATTCACACCTTTACGCCTCACAGCAAGATTAATACATGTGGGATGTGACAGAGTTTGTTTAGAACGTTATCACAAGATATTTTGCACATAGGATTTATAGATTGGTTTTTTTTATGCGATTTTTGAGGTAATTGGTATTTGGTTATAATAGTTGGTTCAAATTTTGGACATCAGATACTGTTAGTATCAGTACTTTAAAATATTATAATGTTAGTTGTCTATCGTAAATCTCTCTAATTTACCTCAGGGTCATGAATATGTCAATAGGTTTACAGTCCATATAAAATATCATGGTTTACATACTTTTCCAGTTGTTTGGTTCAATGCAAAATAATTTCTTAATTCTGTTTCATTCAATGCACCTTGTCTATCAATTTTGTTACCAAGAACRAGTACRGGGCAGTTAGATAAGGATTCATCAAGCAATAATGAATCTAATTCATTTTTACTCTCCATAATTCTAGATTTGTCACAAGCGTCTACCAAAAATACAATTGCATCTACAGCAGGGAAATAATCTTTCCACACTTTTCTTGCTTGAGAATGGCCTCCCAAATCAAATGTTGTGAATTTTATTTTTCCAACAGATAATTCTTCAGATGCTATAGAATAAATAATCAAAAATTAAATTTCCAAGTCACAAAAATATAAAACATATATACTTAAACAACAGTTTCATACTTGGATGTAATGTTGGAGTGTGTTGTGCTAAACGATCATCTTTCAACATATGTAATAGAGTAGTTTTTCCAGCATTATCTAAACCAAGGAATAGTAATTTTCCTGATTTTTTCCACAATCCTATAGAATCATAATACTAAAGTACACATAACTTAGCTGATTTATTTTGTACTCATATTATTTAATAATAATAGAAAAATTACAGAATTGATTTAATACCAATATATTATCAATATGTATTACAATAAATAATGAACTATTGAAATTAAATAAGTAAACACAGATATAAATTATATACCTACATTTGAGTCAATTTAAAACATTCATATATTTGTATTACCTAACAAATAATCACATAACAACTAATGAATAGTAGGTAATGAAATATTACTCACCTAAATATCCCAGCACGCCGGTAACCCAATCCCAAAGAAACATTTTTTGATGAAATTATCTGTAATATAAAATAGGTAATCAAATTAATATGTGAATTACACTAAACATTAAGTTTTGTTTTATCTTTTTTTTTCTATTATTATTTAAAATTTTCCTGACAAAGTCATCTAACCTATTTATATTTACAGTATTTTTTAAAATTTTTTTTGCAGCAATTTAACAATGGAAAATGTATAAGATTATTTACAAAAATATTCTATATCTAAGACAAGTAAGATTATTAATAATACAACATAACTTATAAAAATACAGTTTTAAAAATAAGCACCTGTGCTAAGGCCCTAATCAAACATTACCTGTGGCTTTATATATAAATACACAAAAATATAAAATGCATAAAATAAAGTGTAGGTACCTACCTAACAACTTCGAACAAGGTATGTTAAAATATTAAATTTTAAATTTTGCAAACATATAATATTGCCGGGAAGTACATAAGAAAATGTTATAAAAGAAAAGTAGTATATATTTTAAATTTATGTTTAGTATCTTATTTAACTATCAATTACATATTTACATATCAAATAGCGTTTTCCACCACACTGCACTGATTACACTAGTGTAAATTGTTATGTTCTATTGGTTCTATCGGCAAGATTAATGTGCACTGAGTGGACTTTTTATATTTCACCTCAATGCATTATGYCAGTTTTTTGCACTAGGTGCATTGATATTATTGATAATCGCAGTATCGCACGATCTCCAATATCTACTATCAAATATCAATATATCTTATCAATTTTTATAATATATTATTATATTGACGATAGGCTACAGATATATAAAACATTTTATATTATATATTATATATATGTATATATCTGACATCTGTGTGATTGGGATAGGCCATTCGACAAATATTCCCGTGTCTAGAACACGGACTAAGATATACAGGACTGGAAACGGTAGAAACTATAAACAACGTCGTTGTCAATGGAACCCATTCTCTTCTCTACGTCGTGATGGATCCAATATGTACTACGCTAGCTGRTACAACCATAGAATAGGTTAAATTTCATCTATTCTGTGGTACAAGCGTGTACAACCGCGATCTTCCCACATCTTTCTGGTGTTTTACGTTTTAATTTCTTTCTATTTTATAATATATAATTTTCAAGTAAAGTATTAAAATATTTTATGCAAATATTTTTTATGGATCATACCGTTCTGTAAAATTATGTTCTATTATATTCCATTCTGGGGATAATAAAATAATAAATTCTTATACACCCAGTGGGATTTCCTCAATATTATTTGCTGTATTTTTACGTTCTACTGAGTACTGATATACATTCTTATCAATTTACATTCTGCATTTTTATATTTTGTATTTAAAAATTCTATCAATTTATATTCTGGTATTTTTTTCTGATACACTATATTATTATGCATCCAATTTGATWAGTTACACGATTTTTTTTATTGATCTCCTGTTTGATTGTYTACAGTGTATAATTGTGTATAATTTTCAAATACTTCTAATGGCTTTAGAATTGTCAAAAGGCTCCATTGAGGTATGTGTTAATTTTTAATTTTTAGTACTATTTAACAATTAATATTATTTTAAATCTCATTTTTTAATAAAATCCTTTCCTGTTGCGTGTTGTAGAAATTATGCAATGGTATATTAGTACAACAGCCAATCATCCAATTAATGGTATGTTACTTAAAAGAAAAAAACTAAATTATTCAGGTTAGAAGTTAAGACCAGTATGCTGTATTTAATAACACTTTTGTTCTTACCTCAGGGTTTTGAGGCTGTACAGGTGAAACTCGATAAAACAAATTATCGTTTAGTCTTGTCAGATGGCATTCATATGAACTCTTATTTTTTCCTGTGCAGTCAGTTGAACGATTTGATTGTAAAAAAACAAGTGAAGTATGGAACTATTTTGAGGATTGATGAGTACAAATTTATAAATGGAGAAAATTCTACTGATCATAGTCCGAGGTTGACAGAATAAATAGTTCATTATTAGGTACTTACACTGAACTGTATTGTATTATATAGTTAAGTGGGTACCTATAGAATTTAGCAAGGCATTTAAATTTAATTTGTATACAATTTGTTTATAGGTGGATTATACTTATTCAAAAAGTAACTGTATTGATTCACAGGAATGTTTATGGAAATCCACAGCCTTTAGTAAATATTGAAAAAAAAGAAATGCCGCTAATAAATTTAAATTTGAATAAATGTCCGAGTAGGGTGTTTTATTCTGTTGAACATTTGGAAAGTAATCTTATGAATGTTAAAGATTTGATCACACTATCCAATGGGTAATAAACATTTATTGTATAATATTTTCATAGTTCATAACAGATAAATTTTTAAAAAAAATTACAGGAACTGTCCGTTTGTTCTAAAACTAACTGTTATAAAAAAAAGTCCAATCAATACATACAGTAGTTGTAGTGTTTTAAATGTCAATATGATGGATTCTACGGGTTTAGTTTGTGTCAGTGCATTCAATTCACTTTCAAATAGCTTAAATAAAATATTTGAGGTACCTTTTCTACATTTCTAATACTTTCTAGTTACTTCATATAGTTTATTAAAATCTTATCAATATTTTAAGGAAAACAAAACATATTACATAGCAGACACMATACTGAAACACAACCAATTCGGCGTTGAACTGAAACTCCAATCTCATTCAGTTATAATTGAAAGTATTGATGAAATCCAGYCAAAAATGCAATACATTAAAACATTACATTTTAATAAATTATTGGAAAAAAATCCAAATACATTTTGTGGTAAATACAATTATTGTATATGCTGAATTACTTGAATCTAGGACTGTTATGTAATGTTTATKTTTTAGATTTAATTGGTGTGTGCATAGAAGTAGGTGATGTAGAAGTGTGTAGTAATTCAACGTCGCGAACGGAAATTGCGAAACGAGAAATTGTATTAATTGATATATCTATGGCAACTGTAAGTTTGTACAGTATTTTTTTTTCAAATTTTAAATGATTTGCATGCAGCTTATTTAATTTATTCATCAAAAATAAATGTTATCAACTTTTTATAAAACATAATATAATTTTAAAAAAATCAAACTGTAATTTAAAAAGTTCTGGACTATGGTGTAACTATAATTTTAAATTAGTTAAGTCATCATAGACATGAATTATTAATAGGCTTGTTGGCTTTACAATGGTCATTATYTATTTGTGTATTCTGAATAGAAAATCAAGAAATAACATATATTTTTAAATATAGTACATGTCATAGTTAATATATAGAGGTTTTATTTTTAATGTTTCTTAACATAAGATATATGTTTAATTTTTGTATTTTTATTTGATTAAGATAACTTTAAAAGTGTGGGGTGAACAAGTTCATAAATTTGACGAGAAATTTGATGACCCACCAATAGTAATGGTTAAGCAAGCTGTACTCAAACAATTCAATGGGATTAAGTTTTTTTCTATGGTCAAATTCAGTGTTCTGTGCATTAATCCAAATTTAGCAGAAGTTCATCAGTTAAAAGAATGGTATAAACAATTGGTTGCAATGGACGATTTTTAACAGTATCATTATATTTAAGTACGGTAAAAGCTTGTTTTTATAAATATTTTTCGTGCATAAATAGTTCTGCTGTTATTATTATTATTTTTATTATTGAAATCGTTTAGTTATAAAAATATAATTTATAATGTTTGTTAATTATTATCAGTAAATTATTATTATAATATGTTTAGTGCTGTGATGACTTACAGCCTACACRCACAACTAGTGGTGGTGCTGAAGTACCTTCAACCTCTATTTCAACTTTCCTGATAATTAATGATTCTAATAATTTCATTTAACAAAAAAATAAAATAAGCCAATATTACAGCTAGACTAGTCGTTAAAGTACTGTAGTACATAGCGATCACATTGGAAATTAGTCCTTGGAGTGTACGAAAACCAAGTTTAATAAATTGTAATGCAATTGTAATTATTGTATTATGTATTAATTTAAAAAATTATAAAAAATGGCATTGCTGACGACATAATGATTAAGCAGTTCTGGCAGTGTTGTCAACACACAAAAATAGTATTTGTCATATAAATGTAATATATATTCTCATATATCATCCCATTCAGTATGTTCTCATGAAATATCTTGATACTAACATAAAGATAACGTCAGGGATGGCATCAAAAGGAGGCCACAGCCCTCGAAATCACAAGAACAGTTTCATTAAAACCTGCTTATTATCAAATATTTTTTACTATCTCTTATTAGTTATTAGTAAATAGTATGTGCAGTGCGACAAGGCTCAATATTTTATTATATAAATAGTTTATAAAATACCTACTTGGCGTAGAAGTGTAGGAGCAAACATTTCCCAACTTATATTTAAGTCACATAGTTATAGAAAATAAGAACAAATTAATTATTTATAAAAAAACAATATTCATATGACTATATGCTTTGTAAAATGTTATAAATTATTATACCTATGCAGATGTAGAGGAAAGAAGTTTCAAGTCCMCATGATTAATTCTTTTTGTATTACCACAAAATACGTAAGTTTTTTTTTACTTTGTCATAGTAGGTATACTGTCACCAATAATTTATTTCAGTTGGCAGTTGTAAGAATGAGACCCCTATAAGCATGTCAAGTGACAAGTAGAACTTGTAATAGTTAAAGTTTTAGATTTCTGAGAATGCGACGAAATAGTAGGTAGGTACCATGGTATAACCAGGAGTATTCCCATAGGGTATAGTACATGTATGTCGTATACTCTCAAGATTTTTTTTCAATATTATGGGTATTCTGCGTATGATCTCTATCATAATCGATATTATACCATTATTATATACAATATTTATAAAGATTGACGAAATATAATTATAATATAAAGACGATGATGTATAAAATATTTGGTTTAACATTTTTTTGATATTATTGACATGCTCTTTACTCCTATAAAACCATGAGAAAAATATTTATATTATATTAAATATTTATATTTGATGATATAGTACACTCTCAAAAAAATTAATGGGAACACCTCTGGCATTGATTAAATATACATATATTTAATCAATGTCTCTGGGTATAGCTATGTCATCAGTGTGGATTGGGGTAAAAGTCTAAAATCTCTAAGACCTTGGATGTATTTATAATTACTTACATAATAATATACCTATAAAAGTATAATTCTATGACAGTAGCCTATTTAATATATTCTGTTCGGGTAAATGAATAATTTCATGAAAATCGGTATTAAATACCTATAGCTAGGTACATCCAGTTCAGAGCGTCAAAAATACCTAATTATCGTTTAGCATTCGTAACCGCTTAAACAGAAGTTTCACGAGAAAAATATCAATATTTTTGTAAGTTTTTTTTTTATATTCTTTTTTTTGAATGGTCTAATATATTCATATAAATACTAACAAGTATTTAAAATACCAAAGCGCGTAATGCATAAAATACACGAAGCAACTACCTTTACAGCAGCTCGATGGTTATCGAGTTATTTTTTATTCATATGTACCTACACCGCAGCCCACTCGTAGATAAT